TGTACTTTTCAGGCTGGTGAGCACTGGAATTAATATGACATCCTTCTTTAACCAATTCTTACTGTAGGACTTCATTACGGAATTGCTTAGTCGATTGAAAGGTCTCCGGAGAGTCACCAATCCTCAGAAGAAATGACCTTGCTCACATGAACACCCACCTTTGGTCACAAGGAAACATGTGTCTTCTCTACAAAAAACAGGATCAGCAACAGCACTTCTGAATATGTTTAGGACTTATTACTGAGAAACATCACCAAGTTTGTGAACTTTGTACCAGTGGTTTGAAGTCTCCACTGCTTCCAGATCTACACACATAGCAGGCAGCTAGAATGTACATTTTCTTGATTCTTAAAGAGCATGTTAGCCTGGGGAACAGGACAAGGTGTCCTTCCTTTAGTTTCTTCTAGGAATTTCCATGCTGGCCAAGGAGCACTGAATACAATTCTCAGGAGCTCGTTGAGACTTCTTTTGTTCTGCCCACTGCAAGGAAAACAAGGCATTGGTTATCACTCATTCATCAACATGGAAAATCAGTCACTGTTAAGCTGCACCCCATTTCAGTCTGGGTGGGACCCAACTGCGATCTCCTGCCTGTTACCGCTGTACCTGACTCTACAGCATTGCACCTACTTTGCAAGTCTTATTAAGCCTCTGTTATTTATGAAGGTCGGACAGAAAATATCCAGTATGATGGAAGGAAAATGGCCAAGTGCACCTGGTCTACTTAAGGGGAAGTTTGTGAAACAGCTGTTAAGGCTAATGGAAGAGATTTTCTTTTTTCTAAAAGGCTAAGATTTAGTATTTTTTCTAAGTCTTTTTTCTATAAGACAATGATTTAGAAGAGTCTTCTAAAGGAGCAAGGTCTGGGAATGATTTTTCTCATAATTTAAAAAGATGTTGTAAAAATACTTATTTTGTATATTAAACCAGAGAAAACCAGCCGTGCACTGCTTGCTTTTGTTCTCTTTTTAGGTACTAAAGAAAAACTGAAGTAAAAAAATATCTGCTCCCAATTTCCCTTCAGGGAGCACCTCAGAGAGAGTCTTTTAAAGACAAGGTAGGTCTCACAAATGAGCAGTGAAGTAGGACACACTGTCTTGCTGCAAACTCTTCTGGCTACAACTAATGTTTGTCTGGAAAAGTACAGAGGAAACTACATCCAGCCTCTCAGCAGGTCAGTAATTTGACACATGTGACTAGGAAATAAGGTAGCAAATGGAGGCCGATTGCTTAGGCAGAGCACTCTCACATTATGCCTGCCCCTACGCTCAGGCCTGCCACTCAAAACACAAGAGTTGCTGAGTCACATCCAGAGGGGCTTCTATGTACCAGTACATTCAAGGCCAGCTTTTGAGTACATGTTTTGTTTGTTTGTCAGACAGGGGCAGAAGGGACCAACTCTGGAACAGGAGGGACATGCAGGTTAGCTAACAAACACAAACAAGAATTCTTGGGCTGGACCAGTAATATCTTAAATACATTAGTCTTTCCATCTTTAGCAGTAGCAGAGTGATGACTATTACCTTTTGCTTCCCTCCTATTTTCCAGGTGTCAGTGAACAAGCTGTGGGCCCTGTCCTCTGAGAGGACAAAATCCAAGCTGCAGTAACAACTGTGATGTAAGGGCTTGCTTCCCTTCAATGCTGTTCTTGTAGCTGACTGGCTCCTGGAAGTTAGCAAGCCGTGCAGACCATGTCTTGTTCTAAGGCTCCTCCAAGATGCTCTAAGCCTCACCCACTAGGTTGGAGAAATGGTCTTCCTTTATCAGGGCCAATATATATCTATGGTAGTCCTGGGAACAGGCCATTTTTCACCTAGAAAGGGATTAATAGGACATGCCTTCCCTTCTGAAATCTCAGCTTTGTAAGTAAAATAACAACAAAATTAAATCCAGAGCTGCAACGGTTGTAGATCTGGCACTGATCATGGATTGACACCTGATAAGACTCAAGAGAGTCGTTGAGACAGGAGAGCAGCACACAGATAAAAAGCTCTGAGCACGGTTAAAAACAGACTGGGATCAAACAGAAGTTCAGGTGGAAGATCTAGGTAGACAGGCCATGAGCAGAGTGTCCTAAACTAGAGATGTAACTGGTTACACACAGTAGTACATAGGAGTCCAGATTACTTACACACCCTACCAAGAGGCTTTGTTTTTACTCTGCTGAGCAGCAACAGTACAAAGACCTGACATGCCTCTCCTCTAGCCCAAAAGAGATATTCTTCTCTCCCCTGGGCATTGTTCTATATTTCCTCAATATGGAGTAATGCAAAGAAAATTTCTGTCTCTGCATTAAGGCAGACATTGTTAGAACGAAGGAAAAAGGAAGTTCTCAAAACTCCCCTTGACAGAAGTTGTCTTTGTGCTTACTCTGCAAGTAGTAGGAAAGGAGTAAGCTGCAGCCCCTATGATGTGCAGTTGGGTCTGATCCATAAGGACACCAGTACCGCATGAGAGAACTTCAAACAAGCACAGTGTTCACTGGGAACAAGGCAACACGTGGCCAGGGGCAGATGATTTCTCAGCTCACTGGTGCAAAAGAAAAAGCAACACAAGGCTATCAGAGCAAATTGTTTTTTGTTTAGTTCTTAAACAGTAGTAACTCATACTTGCTTTTATTTACACGTTGGCTGTTCTCACCCTAGACCACAAGTATAGACTAAAATCAGTGTTTTAAAATTTTTTTCAAATATCTTCCAGTTAACTTTGCTGTTTCTCAGCACCACCACTAGCATAAGGCTGCAATGTTTAGTATGTACATACTGTGCAAGAATGTTGCTTTAAAGGAACTTTGCCTTCTTGATTACACCAAGATAACTCAGAATGTATGAAAGTTCATGTGCTTTTCTAATTTCAATTTTTGTTGGGGTGAAGCCTACATAAAAACATTTTGAGTGGGAAAGAAAATCTCATCCCTTATGACATGCTACAAAGACAAAAGCAAAGAAGGTGAATCTCTTTCTGGAAGATGCCAAGCTGTCTTCAGTCCTTGAATGGCTATGACTGAAGTTGATCTGGCCTATCAGGAACTGATTGTTTAGCAGTATATTTTCAAAGACAAGGATGGGGAGTAAGCAACACAGCCAAAAGTGCACTGCCCACTTAAAGGTCATGCAGCATTCATCTTACACAACAACAGATTCGGCTAGGTGTGCTTCCTGCAGACAGCTATCTGGATACCCTTTTACCCCTCCTCCGTGGAGGTCACTGAGGCAACAGCTACAGTGGGGAAGGCTTTTCAGAGGAAAGTGACTGAGCTGCTACTAAAACAGCCAATTACATGCAGAAAGTACAGCAGCCACAAAAATGTCCATTAGTGCTGCAAGGAAAGCAGCAGCATGTGTATGACCAAAGAGACTCTTCTATGTATGACTAAGTTCTATTTCAGGCATTGGGTTGGGTGCATTTCTGAATTACTTGGGATGGCCCCAGAGAAACCAATCTGGAATCTAATTAAACTGCTTCCGGCTGTAACCTGTTCCATTACTACTGATGTGAACAGGGCAGGGCATACAAGACACAGGCTGCCTAACTGCACAGGAGCTCAAAGTTTGGATGTGGCTGATGAAGCATCCAAAATGTTGCAAGTAGCACACCAGCTCACACTAAGATATTAAAAAAAAAAAAGCAGCTGCAAATCAAGAGGCTGAAGCCCAAAGGAATAGATCAGTCTTAAGAGAGATATAAGAACAGATATTTGCGCCTTCCCTTGTTTATACAAAACACAAAGGATTTAACCTAAGACAGAACTGGACTGTCTTACTACCACACTAATTTTACATGTCAAATAGCAATGAAAAAGTGTCATTCCTATGGTGACACAAACCCATAAGAGCATTTTGTTTTTCTTTTTAAGACTGCAAGCTTCTCAGGGCTGTAACTTATCTAAATTTTGTTTAACACAGGGCTCATTGTGAGCTCTCACATCAGAACAACTCAAGTAGTTTTCCCATCTACCTGTCTCAAAGAGACAGGCACTGGTGAAGCAAGGACTGCCAGGAGAAAGAGGATCCTCCACAGAAGCGAGGCTTTGCCACCCCTTCCTAACAAAAGGTTTTGATGGCACTGCTGCATACACTTGCAATTTCTAGTGTGTTACCCTGCAGTATCACTATTCTACATTGTCTGAATCAGGCTTCTGTTGAAGGGCCTGAGCCAGTGCAGCACTTTAGCACAAACCCAGCTTCAACAGCAGTTTAATTTATCTGCTGTGCTCTGACCAGGGGTGACAGAGGAGCAGGCAAACACTATTTTGTAAGTTCACCTTGGAGGTGAACTTAAGTTACCTTAAGCAGAGGGGCAGGGCAGACAGCTGGGAGTGGTAGTGTCAAACCAGACAGGCAAGATTCATTGGAAATTCCCTGTCAAAGGCAAATCCTTTATTTTGTTGCCATTGGAATTTGTCAGCCTCAGAGAGCTCTCTCAGAAGTTCACATTACTCTGGAAAGGGCTCATCCTGATGGAATAATAAAGCATGTTTACAGCAAGTTTAGTTGGGTATTTGAAGCAATTCTGGGTGCTCTGGACACTGGCAAGTGCCACTTGCATCTGGATTGTCTCCAGGGAGGGATATGAACATATGCAACTGAGCTTCTCTCATAGCCAGAGAAAGATCATCACGCAAGTAACATAATTATCCTACCAGGGGAACAATAATTAACAAAGCTAAATCCTGCTTTCAGACTAACGCACAACTCTTCCAGACTGATAGGTTGCTCTTACAGACCACGTGACCTTGGCACAGCCAATCCAGATCACAACACTGTGTATCAGTACCAGATTACCTTTACAAAGGATCCTTCAAGTGAGCAACACTGCCCATCAAGGCAGAGTAGCCCCTACACCTTTTCCAAACACACCACAGAAACATTTTTGATGACTTCATGATTCTTCCTTTCTTTCCCTAAGCCACTTGGCACAAGGACTAACATACCATTATAAGAAGGCAACAATTTGTAAAGGGCTATCAGGCGTTTCCAGGAGAGACTTTAACCATAGGCCTCTGTAAATAATTTTTATTACACTTTGAAAGTTCTCATCACACACGTGATCACAAAGTAGACAGTTTTCTCAGTGCAAAGTGCTTTGCTGCCTGTTGAACCAGTGTGTAAGCTGTTAGCAAAAGCAGGAAGTTACTTATCAGCCAGTCAGTACTGCCTTAAACACTCATCTTTACTGCAACCCACATTGCCTTACCGTCTGTATTTATGGACTTGTATCCACATCCTCATTTATTCCCAAGCATACACAGCAAACCCTGCACTTCTCTGGAGTATTTGTGAGGACAAAGTCATACACCCTCCAAACCTCTCAGATTACAGCACATCCTTTAACTGTCCAAAACATCACCCGTTTTGGCTGCAAATCCACTTGGATTCTTCCTCCCATCTGGCCGGCTCCTCTATTTTCCCATTCTCCAGCTCCTTTACTGCCCATGAAGAATGTGATTACTTCTGCTTGCAAGGAAGATGATAGCGGGAGGTATGGTGGTCCATCAGGTCAAACTCATCATGGCCTTCCCTGAGAAGCAAATACAAAGTGCAGTCAGAAGTAAATACCCAGGCTGGGAATTCGCCCTTAGCTACTGCACAAGGTATCTCCCAGCAGCCCTTACCTAGAAACTTATCTCAAGGGTTAGCTGTGAGGATCTGACTGGCAGCCACATGGACTGACTACTTAAGGTATTTGCTTGTAACAGAAACCTCTGAGGTGCTTTGTGGGAAGGTCTGCTCAGCCTTGCCTGATGGATTCGAAAATGACAACAGATCTCTCTGTTTCTTTGCCTCTTGGAGAGATTCACTTAACTGATGGCTCATTTGCAGCACTATGTCTATGATTCCAGGGATATAAGCAACTCCTATGACAACAGACAAAATGACAGTCTGCTCTGCACAGCTCTGTTGTGGCTAAAACGCAGTGGATCAGCAGCTGTCTGAACCATGCTCAGCAGCGGGCAGTGTTGAGACACAAGCCTGCATCTGCAGGGAGCAACTTAAACACTCATTCACCTTCCAGACTGCTGATTCTGCTTTTACTGATGTTTGCTGTTGGATATTTTTGTTTGCTTGCTTTGTTTTTAATAATCTAATACAGCCAATCACATACTTTCTTAACATTTTCATATTTTTCCCATTCCATTTCCATTTCTCTACAAAAACATTTGAAGGAAATCAGAGTATATACACAAAAGCATCTCTTGTTATCTCAACCAGATTCTTAGCAACTTGCTGTCTAAATGTCTTCCAGCCAACTACCCAAAAGTTTTGAGGCATGAAAAAAGAGAAGTCACACAACCTGTTAGGAAAAGCTTTGTATTCAAAGGAATTAACCCTCCAAATCTGAGACATGCAATATTTTTCAGAAATCAAGCTAGAAACATTTAAGAACCAAGACTACAGCTGCTGCAAGGCCTGACTGGTGAAAAAGGGTTCACACATACATATTTCAATAAAGATCTTTTTAATATAGTTTAATATTGCAAAGTCTCAACCTAAGAAAAGCTTCAGGAATTTATACTTTCTGATCTCCCCTCTTAAGGGAAAGCAGCCCAGATCATCCGTCAATGGCATTAACAAGCCATAGGAGTCACTGAACAATAGTCTCCTTTATCCCATCCCACGTAATGCAGCACACCAGCTGCTCCAGAGAACAGTCAGACAATGTGCCCAAACATGCACTGAGGCAGTACACACAGAACATTCCTGCCTAGGGTCAGTTTAGTCCCTGAAGCCTGGGATAACTACTTATCACACAAAGTATTTCTGTAACAACTAGCATTCAGCTCAGATCTGGGTTCCTTAAATATTCCCTCCTACTGTCTGTTTTATTGCCCAACGGTAAAAACAAACAAAAGGGACCAAGCTTTCCTTTTACCTGCCTCTAAGACCAAGAGGAATTGTGAGACTTACTGAAAACAGCGCTGGCAGTAGAGATCCCCATCACAGCCATGGCAGCGCAAAGTGGCATCTTCGTTGCAGATACAGCACCAAGGTAACTCATCCTCATCACTATCTGCCCTGGCAAGAGCTGTGGTCGTTGGAGTCAGGCTCTAATTCACAGAAAAAACAGAGACACAGAGTTCAAACCCCAGCAGAGAAAATACAGGACTTTTCATTGTAATGCATGATGGCCACAATGACCTGTCATATAGTTTATTCTCTGCTGATGCTGTCTGTGAAAAGAACTTGCCCAGAGCCCAAGGATAGGCTCCATATGCATCTAGATTGTTGAATAAAACCCCAAGGTACTTCCTAGAATTTAGTTGTGAAACTCTGTTGCTTGGAATGTAAACAGGTATTCACCCTTATTTGGTGTCTACAGCAATTCACTCCCACATTGTCTGTACTGTGTTAAGCGCATGAAGGCCAGATCTTCTGGCAGGCACCACAACAATACCATGTGACACACAATTCCTGCTGTAAAAGCAAGCAATCAAGCAGTTTTGCTGAAAGCAGTTATGGGGGAAGGGAAAGTAATGGGAGGTTGGGTGTGTTTTTCTCCCTGTTATAGAAAGAAAACTGTGGGACAAAGGAAGTGATTTGCCAAAAGGCCTCTACTATTGATTTGTACCTGTGGTTGGGACAAAAAGATCTTCTGAAATCGTAATCTAAATATATCCATAAGGCAAACTATTGTCTCCTTCTCCCTTACAGAGAACTCTTGTGGAACTGAACAGTCATAAACACACTGAGACACAGTGCCTGGACACTGCCAAAGGCAGCTTTCTAATATAATCTTTTCCTAACACTATCTTTTACATCAGTAATCTCAGAAACGCAAGGTGGCATACCTATGAGATGGATGTTTTCAATAATGCTTACAATTAAATAATTTCTTCCATGGGGGATAGGCCTGACAGGTGACTGTCAGTCACAGGTCCATTTAATTCTTGTAATATACATTAGAGAACATGTTTGTATTTCCATAGTAGGCCAGAATCCACTGTAAGCATAGGATATCTTGCTACTAATTCCTTCTTCTGATATTATATGAGAACACAGACAGTGTATTACCGACTAGAGGTTCTATTCTGCACAAGCTGAAAGCACCAGCAAACCTCCCATTTTCTCAGGTTCAGGATGTATGGTACTAGACTGTGGCCTTGTCAGTCTAATTTTTTATATATATATATTCTTTAATATTCATACTGTGAGATCTCTGCTGACTTCTCCAGATTTAGATGACACCATAACATTCAACAGAAAGCCAGCCTGAAAGGAATTGTATTCCAGGGAGCAATTCCTCTTAAATGGATGATTCACAGCTGAGCTCAGGGCTGGTCAGCCTTGCAGAAGCTGCTTGGCTTGTCTGCCCTGGAAAAACTGGTTGGTTAATCTTTTTCTGCATTAAGCCTAGGATACAGCAAACTTCTGCTGCAGAACTCTACTCTCTTAAGACCCTGGAATACATCAATTCAAGAGATCCTGACCAGCTCACTGACCTTTTGCTTTGCTTTCTTACACAGGTTCTGTTGTGAGGGTCCTGGTTGGGTGGTCTGATCTGGAGGAATGTTGAATCCACTTGCTTCATCCAGGGCTGCTTCCTCTGTGAGCTGGTAACAAGAGAAAGCAAGAAGCCTCTTGTTTCAAACACACCTGCAATCCTCATTCTAGGCCCTAAACCTCCCGCCCTTCTTGCTCTCATGCAATAACAGGAGATGAGAAGTCTGAATACATCTTGTTTTATCCAGACAGATGTGAGCTCTCTGCACTAGGAACACTGTGTGTACACTGTGGACAGTCAGTGCAGCAGCAGGGGCCTGTAGCAAACACACTCTGCTTTGCAGCACAACTATCAGCAGACTCTCAACATCATGCTAATCACACGTGTGTGATGTATCAGACACAGCAACTGTCTGATAAACACAGCAAACTCGGGTCTGCCTGCCAAGACAATTCAGAGACATTTTTAGAGAGAAATAAGCTGTGCTACACAGCACACGTGTCATCATCCATGTTCTAACTGGCTAGGGGAGCAGGTGGAACAAGAAGTAAGGAAGTAGCAGCAGAGTGGGGTTGTAAAGACACACACACCACAAGAGACACTAAGCATGAATGAGAAAGACAATGTGACAGACTAGAAGCATTGTTGTCAATCGCCTGCCAAAATAGCTGAATGGCCCATGGGAGCTAGCATTGGGAAAGCATTAGGAGGGGAAGGAGTGAAACTCTTCCGAGAAACACAAACACACCCTCATGTATGCTCATCAGGTAACAGACACACTGAGAGGAAGATAAACAAGGCCACAGCTGCCACTTCTGACCTGTTTTAGCACTCTGCGAATAGCTTCCTCCTCAGCCACTTCCTCATCACTGTCAGGAAGTTTATAGTTTTCCAGTGTAACTGTAGGAGTAAGAAATGAGAGACTGTAACCCACATCTGCTTCAAATCTTGTGCCCCTTATGTACCAGAGACAATTGCTTGTGCTGTGAGCTTGTTTTGGCATTCTGGCTCTGACACAAACAGATCCTTTTCAGGTGCAAATTCCTCAAAAAGGGTGTTACTGTTTGGTTTTAATACTGGAAGAGGGAAGAAAAAAATCCCCACCAAACCCAGAGCTTTGCTTTTAAAAGCTTTGTTAACCTCACCAGAGCATGCTAGAACTACCTCAGAGAAGAGTGCAAGACAAAGCAGTCTGACCTTACAGCTCCAGCCTTTACCCTCAACTTAGATCTTTCACACTGATTTCATAATGAACCAACTTGTACAACTTTATAGACAGAATCAAATCTCAGTCTGTTTCTTCAGAACATAGGAATTAAATGGATAAACACTTCTCAGAAAAGAAATTACTCTGTCACAGCAACTTGATTCCTCTCTTGGCACTGTATTCTCATCTGCTGCTCACCTTTCTCTGGGTCCTCGCCTTTGAGTGCTGCCAGTCTCTTGGCAACCTGTAAGATCTTCTCCTGTCTAGTATTCTCTTCCTGCAGCTCAGCAGCAGCTTCTGCCAGAAGTTTGTTCTTCTCTTCCTCTAGCTGTTTTGGGTCCAGATTTGCAGGGCAAACACAATCTTCACTTTCCCGATTGAGATCATTCAAACTTTGGCTACTAACAGCTGCAGGCAGACACACAGAACATGCTGGTGACTCAGCAGCAATGATCCTTGGGCACAGAAAACACAATAAAAGCAATTCTACAAGAGCAGCTTGCTGCTCTCCATGAATCCAGGTAATAATAGGAGAAGGCATGCCAGTAGGATCCTCACTGTACATGATGAGAAGAAAGTGCTAATCTGTGGTCTACAGTGAGATTACAGAGAAAGCACTGCAGCTAGGAAGATAACGGTATGCCAAATTCCAATGCTTTGTAGCAGTGCACAGGTGCATTAGGAGTAGCAACACCTCCTCCCCAGGGAAGGGTCACCTTAGAGAAATAGAGAGGAGCGATCTGTGTACAACAACCCTGACAACAAGGAACCATCTCCAGGCAAAGACACTGAGACCCAGTATGGAGCCAAATGGCTGCTCTTAGTCAATTTGGTAGTCATAAGGGGGAGAGATGGACAAACTGGACACCCAGCTCACCTCTAAGCTAGATAGGGGGGCACATATTGCCTTCTCAATATAGCACATACATTATTAGATATGAACAGGTCTTTGGAAGCCAAAATAAATACCTTGAGGCTGAACTCTTGGTCTGTAATGCTCATCAATGGCAACTTCCTCAGATAGTTGAGTTAACAGGTCATCTGTCTGCTGGACCAGACTTCTGGTATCAGGAGGCTGGTGTACCTAAGAAACAAGGGGGGAGTTGGGAAAAGGCAAATGAGAGGAAAGTGGCATACTCGATCAAAGGAAAGTTTGGCAACCAAGATCACCCTGGATGGAAGCAGCATAAAAAGATGCCTCCACTGATATTGAGAATCTCAGCTTACAGCTTTATGTGGTGTAAGACTTTCAAGGGCTTCATTTTCACAGGTGCTGAATGCACACAGCTCTAAGAGCAGTCACCCAAACAATGTGAAGTGGTGCTGAATGTATAGGAGTACATGCTGCTGGGTCCCAATCCCAGCTCTGTCACTACCTCCAATGCAAACAAAGTGCCGTTCTCAACAGTGCCAGCCAGCAGCCCCAAGACCTACAATAACATCTGGGCATGCAGATGAAAAAAGAACCATGAGGAAATGATATTCTGGGGATAAGTCCATTCCCATAGGCTTTCAATCCAACTGATTCCTCTGCAACTTCAGACAAACCATGCTGAACTTCCATTTCTGGAATAATTAACAGGATTTTGCCCAGCTGGTGTGCAGTAACGACCATAAGATACAATTAGAAGGTAGGGCTGATAAGCCCCAAACACAGACAAACAGCTCTGAAATACTATGACCACTTAGGTATACAAATGGATTGAGAGTAAAAAACTTAGCAACTATTGTTAAGAATATACACATGAACTACACCTGACATGAAGAAGCACATTGGATTCAAATTGAGGCAGTGAACTGGTAAAGGCTGACCATTTGCTTCTGAAGCAATGACACAATTAGGAAACAGAGATTTTTGAATTAAGCTACCTGGACACAAAAAAGCTGAAGAAGGAAGAACAGTTAACATGCTGGGACACCAGTTACTGTGTCAGCTCAGAATAAATTGCTGACTAAAGAGCTGAGGGATCTTACAGGTCTGCGAGCCTGGGAAGGAGGATCTCTTCCCTGCAGGACAGCCAACCGATCCTCCATCTCCTTTGTGGATGGAATAGGTCCCCGGCCATCCTCCTTCAGGGCAGCCAGCCTAGCTTCAATCTCAGCCTGAGTAGGGATGGACTCTGCAATTCAGAATAACCCAGGAGAAGAGATTATCCTGTTATTGAAAACACAACACTTCAAATTTTTTTTTCTTAAAATTGTATTTCTTTCTGGAATCAGACTCTGAACACCTGAGCAAAAACCTCCCTTGCCTTCAGAGTCCTTGCCTCCTTCACAGTTTATCTCCTAGCCATAAGGTGAGTATTAGAGTAACATCATTTGGCAATCAGCTGACTCTGAATACTAGGGACAAGCAGAGAAATAAGAGTCTTTTAGGCAGTATAGTCCATCTCCTAATGCCAACCTAGACATATATCAGACTGAAGCCCTTCCCTGCCACGTAACAGACGAGAGGTAATGGCCTCAAATTGTGCCAGGGGACATTTAGATTGGGTATTAGGAAAAATTCCTTCACAGAAAGGGCTGTCAAGCACCGAAACAGGCTGCCCAGGGAAGTGGTTGAGTCACTGTCCTTGGAGGTATTCAAAAGATGTGTAGATGTGGCACTTAGGGACACGGTTTAGCGGTGGACTTGGTAGCACTGGGTTAATGGTTGGACTTCATGATCTTAAAGGTCTTTTCCAACCTAAATGATTCTGTAATAACCAGGTAACCACTTTGCAGTGTGTTCTTTCTCTTCTAGGGATCCCATATAATTTTAAAAATAGTTTATTCTCCTGCAAGCACCTCAAGGCTGTCCCAGAACCTGACAGCTGTGGACTGGGATGAGAATCCTCTTCCTTCTCTGTGAGACAAGGCTGGCCAGAACATAGTCCTACAGAGAATGGAACCCAGGACAATGACCCACAGGAAACCTTCTAAAAAATACTTTGGCCAGAGACCTTCATTTCATTCTGCTCCAAGCGGCCTTGACACAGGCTTTTACCCCCAAAAAAGGAAATGAGAAAGTGATTTTACACATTAGATACTGCCCCAAAATTGAGTTGTAGTTTCAAGGGAAACCCCAAGAAGCAAAATTAAACTGGAACATTGACCTAAAATCATTGTAGAATTGGGCCATTGTGGCAGCAGTACTTGGATGCTCTGTCCTATTTTAAGCCTTCATTTCCCTAAAACAGCAGCCTCTTAACACCCAGGACTCCCCTCTCCCTCCAGGTTCCATGTTTCCCAAGTAGCAGCGTTCCCACCCAAGGTATTTACAGTATTCTCTACAACTCACTCGGTTTCCTTTCCTCCCTGAGCCTCTCCAGTCTCTCTGCAATAGCTCTATCCTCTTTTGAGAGCCCCTGGTATCTGGAGCCTGCTCGAACTGGGGGTTTTGCAGCTGCTTTCTGTTGCTCTTTCAGCTGGTTTTGCTTAGCCTCAAAAGCTGCTACACGCCTGTGACAAGGATGGAAAAAAGACATGACAATTGAGAACAGGGATTTTAACCTGGAGATATGAAAACATCCTCTGTGAACCCAACAGAAATGAAACCAGTCTCTCTCATACCAGGCTCTCCAACATCAGCACAATGAGGTATTGCTAAGAGTAAGGAAAACCTTAGCTCACAGGAGCAGCACGCCTGGCACTGCTTCCCAGAAGATATGGAACATTTCACCACCAGGTTCCTGTTTCCAAGCCAGCTCTCATCAGTCACAGATAATTGCAGGCAGGTGGCTTTTCAGGAGTCTATTCAAAAGAGTTCACACCCCACCCCTACAAACAAACTAACAACCCAAACAACAAAACAAAAGCTCTATCCTTAATCTAATTCTGAATCCAAGCAAATACCCACATCGAAAGACCTGCTTTTGCAGGTCTCCACAGGGGAAAAGGAAGCCTAAAAGGCTACTCTGCAGCAGAAACAACTGATTATCGAGTGCAACTTACTTTTTGTAGTTTTCTGGTGGTGACCATTTTGCTGAACTGCTTTGAGATCCCTCTCTGAAAGACAAAACCAATGATTTTTCTGAACTCAAGATACTGACAATACTTCAATCACCTAGTCTCTCAACTTAAGAGGAATCAGCAGACTTTTCTTAACCTCTTGATACAGGCCCTTTCATAACCTCATTAATACTGAGAGCAATCAGCTTATGAACTGGATTAAGATAAGATAACTGCCTGGGACAGGAGGGGATTTAATTTCTAGTCCTTTGGTCCAATTGTTTTGCATTGTGATTTAATACAGTCACCGGTGATCCAAAGGAGGTGGGGCTGAAATACTCTTGCCTCCCACAGCCTACACCTCCCACTTCAGAAAGCAGGTAGACAGTAGTTAGGTAAGACTCCCAGTGTAACTAGCTTCCATGCAGCAGAACACTCTGGAAGTAGCTGGGGCATGCAACAAAAACAGAATTATATAATGCACAACCAAAACAAAATGTTACAGAAGTTATTATATAACCACCATTATAACAACATCTTCTAGCACACCTGAACACTGCACACCACAAGCACATATTGTATAACTATCTTCTACTTCATTGTATTCAGGTTGAGGGGCTAAACTACACACTTAGGGGAGGTAGTTGTAGTTGGCATATTTCACTCATTCTTGGAAGCAACAGCTACAAACACAGCTAAGGCCTGTATAGTAATGAATGAATGTAACATTGTTGGACTGTTTTCTGGTTCTAAGGTTTCAGTTCTGAAATCTATTTGCATGAATAACAACATATGCAGCTTACAGAATGGGGTGCCATCCAGAGGGACCTCGACAAGCTCAGTAAGTGGGTCCATGTGACTCCCATTAAATGATGGGTCCCGTGGTTTAACAAGGCCGAGTGCAAAGTTGCGCCCGGGTTGGGGCAACCCCTAGTATCAGCACAGACTGGGGGACGAACAAATCAAGAGCAGCCATGCTGAGAAGGACTTGGGGGTGCTGGTGGGTGAGAGACTGGACATGAGTCAGCAATGTGCACTCACAGCCCAGAAAGCCAATTGTGTCCTGAGCTGCATCAAAAGCAGCGTGGCCAGCAGGTTGAGGGAGGGAATTCTGTCCCTCTTCTCTGATCTTCTGAGACCCCATCTGGAATGCTGCATGGCTGGCATTCCCAGCACAGGAAGGACACAGACCTGTTGGAGTGAGTCCAGAGGAGGCTACCAAGTTGATCAGAGCGATGGAACACCTCTCCTATGAGGAAAGGCTGACAAAGCTGGGATTATTCAGCCCAGAAAAGAGAAGGCTTCAGGGTGACCTAATTGCAGCCTTCCAGTACCTGAACAGAACTTAACAGAAAGACAGAGAGGGATTTCCTACAAGAGCATGTACTGACAGGACAAGAGGGAATGGTTTTAAATGGAGAGTAGCTTTAGACTAGATATTAGAAAAAAATTCTTTACTGTGAGGTTAGTGAGGCACTGGCACAGGTTCCCCAGAGAAGTTGTGGATGCCCCATCCCTGGAAGTGTTTAAGGACAAGTTGGATGGAGGGAGCTCTGAGCAACCAGGTCTAGTGGAAGGTGCCCCTGCCCACAGCAGGCAGGTTGGAAAGAGATTGTCTTTAAGGTCCCTCCCAACCCAGGCCATTCTATGATTCTGTGATCTACCTGCTATCCGCTCAGGGAGAATTTTTTTCTTCTGTAATTCCGTAGTACTGATATTAAAATGATGAGAAAAAAAGGCCCAGAAGAAACACAGAGAAAGGCTGCCCTGGTTTTTTAATGGCTTTGAAGTTGTAAAGGGAAATCAGAAAATTTCAAAACTGAAACGACTGAATACTGTATTTCACTGTTTCCATAAGCCAGTGAAGATGAAGACCTTCGCTAATGAGAGGCTCCTCTCCTTTAGACACCTGCAGAGCCAGAAAATTCCCCACTAATTGGTGAAAATTCCTTGCTATATGAGAGAAGTGGAAAAGAGGAGTAAGAGAAGGAAGGGGATACAAAAGAATTGGCTGAGGGATTCTGGTGTATACTTGTGTTCTTGTGTTACTTGTTCACATGTATAACCCATGCTGCTTCTGAATTACTTTTTTTTTTTGTTTTCAACAGGCAATCTAAAAGTTATGTTTGCAAATTTTTTTTCTTTGAAAAGCAAACTGATTTTATGCTACAAAATTTTAAATCTTCAACACTGAGGATTTGTGTCACTCCCCACAGAGGTAATAACACTTTGAACATCTTACTGTCAGCCCATTCAACTACTACATTTCTGAAAAGACTGCCAGTGCTTTTAGAGGGGTGTGGATTTCTGGGCAAAAACACAGTGGGGCTTAACCTGGGCTCATCTAGCTAAGATGTCCACAGTAATTCAGTGTCCTTCTGTGAAGTTTTAAACCTGGTTCCTTCTGACTACTCTGCCATAATAGAAAACAGGCAACAAATCCTGATTCATATCTTTGGACTACACAACTCGTAAAACAACAGTTCAGAAACAGCCTGGCTTGAAACTCCAGGGTCCAGGCAGCATCCGTGCACAAACGGAAGGCACAGCTCTCATGCATAAATCTGCAACACAACACTGGGATGTAAACTGAAGATACAAAGCAGGAAACTGTCTTTGGGTGAAGAAACACTCATGCCTTACCCAGTTAGTTTTTCATGACACTGCTTGCACACCTTCTGCTGCGTGTTTCCACAGCGGGGAACAACAGCAGTGAAGCTCCGGCAGCCCGAGCAGAACGACCGTCCGCAGTTCTTGCAGCCACACTGCAGAGACAGAGAGAGGGGCAGGGCAGCACCAACCCGTCATCACACACCCCCACCGCTCTGCCCGGCCGCACGCAGGCACAGTGCCCGTGACAAGGCACACACAAAATAACGCTGGGGCTGTGCTGATTTTTTGTAAGAGAACTGTATCACCAGCTGCTGATGAAGATACGGAGACTTTCGAGAACCAGCACGTAACTCCTGCTGGGAGCTGAGTCACCACTTCATCCCATAGTATAACAAAGCGTGTGCGTGGGAATTGTCTGAGACAATGACCGAATGCTGGATTAGAGGGATGACATGATGATTTTTTTTCTCTTTTTTCTTGTTTTTGTCAGTAATCTCCCATATTTGAAGACATATTGCAACTAGGCACCACAATAGCTCAGTAAGCAAGGACAACAACGCCGGGATGCTGGCCAGGAAGCTGTCTCGGCGCAGGGCGAGGCGGTTCCCGGTTCCCCTCTCGGACCCTCGCATTGTGGGGGCGTCACCCGCGGGACCGGCCGGTCCTGACCCCCCGCAGCCGGACTTGCCTCTTTCTTGAAGACAGAGAACTTGGACGCGCATCCATAGCACCGGCTATCCATGGCGCTACCGGAGGCGCGGCCCAGCCTCAGGCGCGGCGCTGCACGCCCGCTGAGCCAAGCTCCATGGTCGTCCCCCCCAGGTCCCTTGGCTGCCTCAGGCCCGAGGGTCGACGACAATCGGGGCTGGCACTAACGGGGAGGCGCAGAAAGCGCCCGCCCGTCCTCAACACACAGGGATGGCGGCGCACGGCCCGACGGGAGTTGTAGTCCCTCGCCCGGGCCTTCCCGGCGCCAGCCGACGGGCAGCTCTCCGTGGATAAACTACACTGCCCAAGGCTCCGCACGGTCCCATGCCGGGCCGCCCAGGCCACTACCCAGGGCACCATCGCCGCACGATGCATTGTGGTACCTATAGTCTGGTGCCGCCGGCAGCGCCATGTCCCGGCGGACATTAGCCGTGGGTGTTAATTAGACCAAAAAGTGTCTTCTCTAATGCTGACACGGTTGCCCCCGAGTTACTCTGGTTTTGGGGTCTTTTTTGTCTTAAACCTGTGGTGAGATCCTGGTTCAGAACAGCAAGAATCGACTGAATTGCAAAATTCCGGTTATCTCCAGCCCATCCTTGCCAGTGTGCCCTCAGAAGGGAATGTCCTGCAGTGTTTCCAGAAAGAGTTACTGAGTGTACCATGAGTCATCCTGCTAACCGCGTGGGTTTGCAGGTAGATTTTGCATTCTTTTCAGTTTAATATAAGTCCACACTGTAAAAACCTACAAAATTACATTAGGAAACTGAATGATGTATTCAAGGAAGTAAGACTCATTAATACCTGAACAAAGCTAAATTTAAAAAAACAATGGAGGTTTCCCCTCTCAATTTTTTATTTTTGATTTGTTTTATTTTTGTTTGTATTTTTGTTTTGGTTGGCTGGGTGGTTTTTTTGTTTGGTTTTGGTTGGTTTCTTGTTTTTAAAAAACATTGGAAAGACAACTGTATCAAACTTGGAAGCTAAACTTCGCACCTGTTCAGCAATTATGCTAGAGACCACCCGGAAATTCCACGTATCGTAGGCATAAAGCAGGGAATCGAGGCAAATATAAACTCAAACAAAAGACTTCATTGTCTTTGCTATTGAGCTGATCAATAGGAAAAGAGGAAGAGGAAGTTTGAATCTTAATGTTATAGTGCAATCTACCGATTGACAGGTGGAATTTGGAGTGCCGCTCTTTAAGACAAAAATACAGTGAACGAAAGAACTTTCCTATCCACCACCAACAGAGAGGCACGGGAAGGAGCAACTTAGAGAAACTGAACATCCTTGTTGAGAAACGCCTCGGCTGAATTCGCCGGATGGAACTGAGCGCCGTGACCAGGGCAGGAGAAAAGCTCACTGTCCCGTGTCTGGAGAAGAGGTACGACGCGTTCCCATTCCCATTCCCTTTCTCTTGCAGGTGTCCGCCAGAGGGGGCCCGGCCCCCGCAGTTCTCCAGCTCCTACACCAAAAGCCATTTGGGAACAGAACAGCTGGAGCTTTCCTTTATTTCTTCTCTTACCCGGTGATGTTTCCCATGATAATGCAGACTCGATTATAAAATCCTATGTGACAACTTAGCCTGTAAGGTTTTCAATTTCTGTTTGAAGTCCAGGAGAGATTAAATCGTCTTTGGTTCATGTATCTTCTCCTTGCCAAACTCAGTTGTTGCATTCTCTGTCCTACGTAGTTATAGCTGCAAAAGCTGTGTTCTTCTCTAACTCGCTGTGAAACTGTGCCCCAGTGTATTAGACTTGGCCTTGATAATCTTGGGGCTTGATTACTATAATGGAACATGTCTAGAAATAAAGCTTTGGATCTGAAAAATTTTAAATTAAGTAAAAATGTGACCATTTGCCTACTAAGTCTCCCAGGCTGTAATGTTTTTCCTTGCAGTTCAGTCTGGGAAATAGGGCAGATCATCACCACAGTGAAATTGAAAACTGAGTTTCAGTACTCTCTTGCTGTTGCAATAGGCTCATTTTCTTCTATTAGATGAGGAATGAACTGTATTACAGCCCATCAAAAGCTGCCCTTATTTTCTGTTAGACATTGTTTGCAGTCCTGAGCAATATGGATCAGGCAGAGTAAAGTCAGGACCCTGAATTTCAGGAAAACAAACTTCCAGCTCTTAAAGGAATTAGTTAATAGGACCCTTTGGGAAACTGCCCTCTGGGACAAGGGACCAGAACCAAGCTGGTAAATCTTTAAGATCTGGTAGATCATAAAGTGCAAGAGCTCTTGATCCCCAGGTGTAAGAAATCAGAAAAAGAAGGCAAGAGACTGGCATGGCAAGACTAAAGGGCAAAAAGGAAATGCACAGGTAGTGGAAGCAGGAAAGGGTATCCTGGGAAGAGCATAGGGATGCTGCCTGGTTGTATAGGAATGGGGTCAGGAAGGCTAAGGTGCGATGGGGCTCAACCTGGCAAGGGATGCAAAGAATAGTAACAAGGTCTTCTACAGGTATGTCAGCCAGAAAAGGAAGGTCAAAGAAAGCATTGCCCCCAATGAACATGACTCTAATGAATGCAACAATGGATAAGGAGAAGGCTGAGATACACAACAAAATTTTTCTTGCCTCAGTTTTCACTGTCAACCTCTCTTCCTGCACTTCTTGAGTGGAGGGACTGCAAGACATGGACTGGGGGAGCCAAGTCCAGAAGAGAAAACCAGGTTTGTGTGATCACCTGAGGAACCTGAACATACCTGTCTATGAGAACTGAGAAGATGCATCCTAGAGACATGAGAGAATTGGCAGATGTAGTTGCCAAGCCTCTCTCCATGATATCTGAAAAGTCATGAGAGTCAGGGGAAGTCCCAGGTGGCTGGAAGGGAAACACTGCACCTTTTAAAAAAGGGTAAAAAGGAGGACTCTGGGAATTACTGATCTGTCAGCCTCACCTCTGGGCCTGGGAAGATCATGGAACAGGTCCTCCTAGAAGCTGTGCTAAGGCATATGGGGACAGGGAGGTGATTAAGATGGACAGGGAGGTGATTAAGACAGCCAGGACAGCTTCACCAAGGGCAAGTCCTGCCTGAGCAACCTAGTGGCCTTCCATCATGGAGCAATTACATCAGTGGACAAGGGAAGAGCTACAGGTGTTGTCTGTTTGGACTTCTGTAAGGTCTTTGTCATGGTCCCCTACAACATCTTTCTCTCTAAAATGGAGAGAGATAGATTTGATTGGTGGACTGTTTGGTGGATGAGGAATTGGTTGCATGGTCATATCCAGAGGGTAGTGGTCAATGGCTCAATGTCCAGATGGAGATGCGTGACAACTGGTGTCCCTCAGGGGTCCATATTGGTTTGATACTGTTTAATATCTTCATCAATGCAATAGACAGTGGGATCAAGTGCACCCTCAGCAAGCTTGCCGATGACACCGGGCTGAGTGGTGCAGTTGACATGCCTGAGGGAAGAAATGCCATTCAGAGGGACCTGGACAAGCTCAAGAAGTAGGCCCTTGTGAATCTCATGAGGTTCCAAAAGACCAAATGCAAGGTCCTGCACCTGGGTTGGGGCAACCCCAGGTATCAGTCCAGGCTGAGTGATGAACAGGAGAGCAGCCCTGCTGATGACTTGAGGTATTTACTGGTTGAAAAGCTGGAGCCAGCAATGTGCACTCACAGCCCAGAAAGCCAATTGTATCCTGGGCATCATCAAATGCAGTGTGGCCAGCAGGCCGAGGGAGGTGATTCTGACTCTCTGCTCTGTCTGGTGAGACCCTGCCTGGAGTACTATGCCCAGGCCTGGAGTCCTCAGCACAGAAAAGACATGGACCTGGTGGGGAAGGTCTAGAGGAAGGACACAAAGATGATTGCGGAGCTGAAGCATCTGTCCTATGAGAGCAATCTCAGAGAGTTGGGGTTGTTCAACGGAGACAAGAAGGCTCTGGGGAGACTTTCTTGTAGCCTTTCAGTACTTAAAGGGGGCTTGTAAGAGAGATGGGAACAAGCATTTTAGCAGGGCATGTTGTGATAGCACAAAGGGCAATGGTTTTAAACTAAAAGAGGGTAGATTTAGACTACAGATAAGAAATAATTTTTTTACAGTGAGGGTGGTGAGACACTGTAACAGGTTGCACAGTGGATGCCCAGTCCCTGGAAGCATTCAACGTCAGGCTGGATAAGGCTCTGAGCAACTTGGTCTAGTTGAAGATGACTGCTCATTGGAGAGTTTTGGGCTAGATGACCTTTAAATGTCCCTTCCAACACAAACTATTCTATGATTCTATGATTCAATGACTAGGGTTGTAGTCATGCAAGTGTCATCTCAACCACAGTTACTTACTTATGTAAGGCAAATGTGTTTTAAATTAAACACAAAAAAAGGCCTATGAGTAGTGCATTTTTGCATGTTTCTGTAGTGCTTTATTCCAGGCTGTTTTTCTCCTACAGCAGTAATTGACAGATCACTGCTCTGGTTCTTACAGACTACAAAAGCATAACACTTGAAGGCTCTGATTTGCCTCCCGGATAGGAACCAGGAGAGTCTCAAAGCTGGTAAGAGCGGAACATATGGACACAAATGCTCTTGTTTCTTCCACACACACAGGCTTCTAGAAGCGTGTCTCTCTTTAAATAGGTCTGGGTTTGTAAGCAATTAAGGTAATACCAGTTTGTGCCATGAGTTATGTACCTCTATGGGAATACATATATAAATTCCTCACTGCTAGATACTTCTGGTTTTTAAGGTTAAATTCTTACATGTTGGATTTCAAAAGTGTGTTAAGTGAGTGCTGAACTTTCATTAGAACCTCTGAAAATCCTCTTATGGTGGTATTTGAATCCTCAACTTTTGGCTATACTGTCCATTGTTTCTACTGGCTAGTTACTCTTAATTCATACATCTCAGACTATAAACCTTAAGAGCAACCTTATATATAATATTTATATATATAGGCAATGCCTGTTGTGGAAGGATCATTGTCTGTTAGATGGAAGTCCCCTTATATTGTGCATTTGGGTTACACTTAAGCTCTTAGGAGGGTTTGTGAATCCTACAGCTTCTCCATTTTTGATTCACAACTAACTGTGGATCAAGGTGAGTGGCCATCATTTTAAGAAGGAAGGATGCCATTCATGAGGATGTTTTCTATCTTGCATTTTCCTGTTTGGTGGGCCACAGATTTATAGATGAGTAATAGAAAACTAAAGTAGAGACTACTGTCAGGAAACCAGAGATTTTAGAAATAATGAGAGGTTTTGATATCTGCAGAGGGTCAGGAGGTGGTTTGGAGCGTGTGTGGAAGCTCCAGCTAATGTGCATATCCCTTAAGGAAAGCAGTTAGCAAGGACCCCTAACAGAAATCATTAAAAGAAGAACCTTAGATCTCATGCTGAAAAGTCTTTTCTGTGAAAGAGAGAACTTATTCATCATGTTATATTTCAGGCTGTCTGCACATTCAGGAATGCGTTTCTACATTGTTACTGTTGAAGAGCTTGCTTACAAATAAAGCACCCTGATCGTCACATTGCCATATTTACTTAAAACCATATTTCTAGGAACAAATTGCAAGACCAATATTCCTATATGTTGTATATTGCTGTTTGGGCGTGTTGTTCATGCTCTTTTACTAAATATGGGTGAACACCTAAAACATTGGACCTATGTAGGGCCCCAGATCAGGCCATGGGAAGGGAATCTAAAGTAATATTCAAGTTACAAAGCTGTTCAGCACTATCTATTTAAAATAGGGATCCATTCAACGTTGTTATACAAGGAGACTTGTCACGGGGTTATTACTTTTGCACCTCCATGAAAGTCCTCAGACTCAGGGAGAAGAATTAACATTTTTACAGTCTGAAGTTGAAGTTAAAAATAGAAGTAGACTTTAATTTTCTGTCATGCTGCTGAAATTATTACATTCTCCAAAAAGGTGCCAATCTAAATAGTGAGCCAAAATAATTGAAGGAATACCAGAAGACAGGAACTTGTAAGAACTACAAATATTTGTTGCCTGCTATGCATGCACTTTCCTACCATGATGCGAGCTCTAGACCCTGATGTCCATAATTTATCAGTCTTCTGTGGGTGAAAATTAGCTGGTGCTTAAAAAGCAAGACATTACAGTATCTTAAAAAAAAAAAAACAAAACCACACACACACAAAAAAGTCATCATAATTCAAAATTTTCTTGGCTGCCTTCCTAGCACCAGGAAAGCAAATTGGCATTTTCCACATGCTCTTCTTCACAAAAGCATAATTTCAGCAAAAACTTTTATTATTTATTACATTTTCGTATATCTCAGTTTGGCATTAGCATTCAATTCTGAATACATCAAATCAAGGCAAAGTGCTAGCTGTTTATGGTGGTGATTTCTTTCTCCTCTTCAGCTGTCTTCTCAGAGGAGGAAGATTTCTCTCTACAGACAAGGTACTTCACACCTAAAATGTTCTCCAAAGAGAACATTCAATAAATGCACTTTGCATTAAGTTTTCAGGCCTCATTTTTAAAAAGTATTTTGGTAATACCCCATGGACAATTTCAATACCTGACTCAGGCCACAGCAAAGTGGCAACAATAGGTGCTTCACTCCATTTCCTCTCCCTCACTGCTTGTTCCTGCCACTCTTAACTGTTTCTTAAATTAAATTTGTTCCCTGACCTCATTCATCTCACAGAGGGTAGTGCAATTCTTCAAGTTGAGATGCTGTACAATCATCCTAGTTTGCACCTTCACTGTAAAATGGTGATTTCCAGGCTAAGCTCAGGTGCTTATAGGAACTGTGTAAGTGATCTTGGCTTCAAAGCATAAATAAGTATGTGTCTGAAGGTTTTTCTGTATGTATGCTGGAATGCACATTAGGGTTGGGTAATAACATTTACCAGAATACAGGCTAAAGTTGCTACGTAGCCATATTCTGGATTTTTTTTATGGGCAGAGTTTCTACCACTAGAAGTTGTTGAAAATCTGTTTACATAGTTTCAGCTCTGCTATTGTATTTGGCCATGCAACACCAGCAATGGAATTAGTAAAACAAAAAGCCTACAATCTAGACAGAAGCATCCCATGGGCAGGAACATTTCTGTCCATGATTCACCATGCAAATTACACCACTGCAGACGTAAGACTAAGAGATCAAGCTTCAAGCTTGTGAAAGGTATCAGGGAGCTATATTTTTTTTCTGAAATTGGTGGCATTTTGACTTTTACCTTTGGCTAGCTGGACTCTTATTTTCATTCTGTGTTTTTCAACCCCCATCTGTATAGGACTTACCTACCAAATGTATAACTCATCACAAATCCGGGCAACTCCCAAACTATATCACTGTGAAATTCAACCAGCACAAAGTTCCCAGTGGAAGTAAAGTCTGCAACCTTCTCTGTCCCACAGTAAGGGCCAACTGCAGGTGATGTAGGTTGGCTTCCATCATGTATGAGCAAGTAGTCGTAGGTGCATCTGTCACTATATTCCAGCTCAAAGGATAACATTTTGAGAGATATCTGGAGAAAATACAAAGAAAGCACTTTGCTTCCAGGTTACAGCCTTTTCTCTTACCCTTTGTATGTAACAAGGACAAATAATCTAAAATCCTTGCATGCAGGCACTGTTTTTTATTCTGTGGTTGCACCACATCCTGATCCCATATGGCAATGCAAATAAGTATCAAATTATTTGCTTAGTTCATCAGTATTTGGATTGGAAGAAGAAGCAAGGGACAAGATTGATCTTCTACGCTTTATGTTCTTTTCTCTAGAGAAATATAAAAACAACACCTGTGCAATGTTTGAGTTTTCTAGTGGGAACTCTTACTTAGGGATTATTTTGAACAAAGCTTGTACCTACTGGTACAAGCTAAATTCATGAGTTCACACGCACGTGTAAAGGTTTTCCCTTGCTGAACACTTCAGATTCCAAGATACAACATAAGTTCTTAAAATGAATTTTTGCTTTCAGATTTTTACTCTGAGAATGCCTGCTGAAAAAATGACATTACAGCTCTTATTCTCCAAGGGAAACACATTTCATCAGAGAACAGTGATGAAACCCACAACTGAATTCATCTGTGTCTTACCTTGTATCCTACTGGAGAACTGATGATCCAGAAGCATGCTCTGTTTTTGGGGTATTTATTAGGGTAGTTTGGAGAAGTGATGACTCCATTTGAATCTCTGAAAGTGGCTCCACAATTCACTGAAGAGTGAAAAACAGAGAAAGACATATTAACAAGAGCATTTTGTCAGTAGAAATGAGCTTGCATATACTCAATTGTATTATTTCTTCAAGCCAAGAAAAAAATGTACTACCATGAAAATCAACTGTTGAAATATTTTATTTCTTCGCTTAATATTTGTATCAGCAGCTGTACTGAAGGAACTTAGAAACATCTGAAAAATAACCTTTGGAGAACAGGGAACAGCTGCATCTAAAGCTGTATCAGTCTTTAAAATTGAGTGTTACCATATTAGCATAGCATTCTAATGGCAGTACCTGCACTTCAGAAAAGAATTAGCTCAAGTATTCAAGATTGCATTATCAAGCTAGATCTAGTGCTTTCTAAAAATGACTCCATCAAATAATGCAAAAAGAGTAAAAATGACACATTTCTAAGACTTCTTCAATTTATGCTGTAAAAAGGTTTGGATTTTCAGTTGAAATAAAGCAACAGCAAGTTATTTGGGCTACTACCTAACTGAAAGCATGCTGCAGCACAACAGAATTTTGTCTGGCAGTCCATAATGCATTTGTGCGTTTGCAAAACAGACACCCCTCAAGTGACTACAGTAAGCACTGTGTTTCATGGACATAACAAAAGCTTTTGATTCAGAAAGTGTAAGTTACCCAAGATCAGTACCTCTCCCATTGCATAAAATCCTACAAAACCTTGCATAACATCTTGCCTGGTTACTGGCTTTACGTCTCATTGGTTGAGATCTCTTGTTGAGTTCTGCAGTCTTTGTGCTCTTTGGCTGCACCACTCCTATTAATTAAAGTCATTGCACTGTTTTTATTTAAAGAAATTGTTCTGGAGATATGAAGAAGCCTAACAGAGGCTCTCAGAAGAATGTGAGTGGGATCTCAGGATTACTAACGTGAGATCCATGCAACATCCCATTTTGTGTTTCCTGTAAGCCTTCAGACCCATCATTGCCTGGCCTCCTGCATTAGCAATTGCTGAGAAAGTCTAAAGGATGACAGAGACCTACTCTGGAGTATATAGTAAAAATTTTAAATTCTTACATACAAATACTATTAATGCTGTTCTGTAAACTTTGTAAAGGAGTGTTCATACCCCTGTTGTAGGAGGCTCTGAATCCTGTGGCTGTAATGCTCTCATCACTTGCAAACTCTACCAGCATTGTTGATCCAGATGCCACTAAGGAGGGCAATGGACCCTTCCCACAGTACTTGTCCAGCAAGACAGGGGAATTCCTGCTGTTTCCATTGTAAATTTTTATATAGTCAGAAGAACAGTCTGGGGAGGGTTGAAGATCAAAAGCCTCAAACTGCAGGAAAACCTTGAGGAACAAGAAAGCAGATGTGGGGTTTAATGCTATCCACAGGGAAAGCCTCAAACCATCTAATGGTTATCAAGTGAACCAGAACTTCATATTTATTTTACTATCTATGTATCATTGAAACTTTACTTTCTTTATTAAAAGAGCATAGAATTTCACCTAGCTATCCTATTACTGAGCCCCCGGAGATTGATGTTTCACTGTTGCTTGTCTTTCAAAAGCCATCCAATCTGAACTGGATAAAAATCAAGTTAAATAAGGCATCTCATAGTCTTAAGTCTTATGAAAATTGTTGAGACTGTCTTTCATTCACTGCATAACAAAATAAATGTCTTGATCCATGAAATTGACTCCCAAGGGGTACTCACGATAATGAAATAATTCTGCATAGCCCACACACTGAGGTTCAAACCTCTTTTCTCCTAATAAAAGTTACCTTACTTCGACGGATGCGGATCAACCACAGACAGTTGCTGTTGTTCGGATACGGAGATGGGTAATTGACAGAGGAGAATGAGCCTTTGGATTTAGGCAACACAGAGCTACAGCAATCTGAAGGGAAGAACCAAACAGTGTTGAAGAGAATGAAAACTGCACAAAAATCTTCCTGGAATGCCTGACAAGTCTCTCCAACCATTTGCAAAAGCTTGCAAAAGAGAAATTAATTATAATGCTTACAATTGTGTTGATGTTCCTAGTGTAAAAGTTATTGAAAAACTGCAAGTGAAATAAAGGTAGTTAAAGTACTTATCTGATTCAGCTACTAATGTTTTTTTAAAGATAGCAGGGCTTCATTCTTTTCACATTTTAGTTTACTGAAAAAGGCCTGGATCAGCTGTGAACTTCCTTAACCTCAATGACGGAACTAGTTTCAATGAAATCAGTATATCAGTTCCCATCAGCAAATGTGTGTATTTATAAGTGTATGCAAAAATCAAGCTTGAAAACTAGACACTGTCACTGGGGGAAAATAGTAACAGCACTGAAGTCTAGCTACAGACCTAGTGACTGATATACAAAGTCTGATCTCATCTGTCTTTCATCTTTCCACGTCTTCATTTTTTGCACTATGTGTAACTCCCTCAATTACAAAACACGAATATATGACATCTGATCATATGAATTTATGACATATTTCTCTTGCTCCCTGCTTTTTCTGAGACAACTAGACTTTTTCATGTTTGGTTTTTGCTTTGCACCTGAGTTTTTCTCTCTCTTTTTTTAAAATTTTAATTTAATTCTTCCAAACATACAGATCTAATTATGAAATTACATAATAATGGTATTGAAGTGTGATTCATTCCCAGTCCCACTGTCAAGAATAAATATCATTAAATATTTGTTATCACTATCTTTGAGACCATGACAGCCATTGTAAAGTTGTCTTATCTGAAGTTAAGGATTTGGAGAAATCACTCTCCGCAATGATTTCTGTACCTAACTATCCAAATGAAGGAATGCTGTTTCCTTATAATTTCTAATTATTTAACTAAGTTCTAACACAATTCAGAGCAGAATTTAGTACACTAATATTTAGGCCTTGTTAATGTTTCTTCCTGTTTTGTTGAAAACTAATTGAATAACTGCCATAAAAGTCAAATACCATATAAATCAATTAGCCTATGTACTGGGAGTTCAGGCAAAACCCATGCATTGCAGGAGCATGATGTTATACCTGTTTTGTGCATCTCAGCTGATGAGTTCCTGCTTACAGAGGAATGCTAGGTATTTCTAGACCTTAAGATACCACAGGGATGAGTTAAGAAATGGATGGAGCAAGGAATTAGATAGCTATACAAAAAGCCTGTGGTTTTCTCCTCAAAGAGGTTTCTGATCATGCTGAATGGCACCCATACTTACAGCCCTTCAGTCATTTTCTAGTAGAGAGAAATCACAAACCTGCTGGGACTACTGAGGCACATGACCCTAAGCCATAATCATGGCTGAGGAGAGGTTACATGCTTTACAACCTTCCAAGCTCTCCTGAAATTAGAATGTGACAGAAGTAGCACCCGTGATTTCTCTAATAGATTTTGCTTATGTCAAAGAGCAGGGATTAGGTGAGGATACCTCAGAATGACAGTGAATTATTGAAAGTAAATTATCCTTTCCAAGAAGGCAGGGGTTTGGCACAGGGATAGTTGTTTCCTCTTGTAGAGTGAGGGAGAGATGTATTGAAGGGACTGATGGCTGAGTTCCTTTGGGGGATGTCTGTCAGTGCCTACAGACATCAGCTGTATAAGGATTCATATGCCTTCTATCTACAGCACTTACTGCACTTGTAGAGCTTGTTGATTTTGGCTACATCCAAGTTACTCAGCCCTTCTCTCTGCCCAATGGGTATAGAGGGGTCAGGAACTGGTACAATAGTTGGTTTCCCTGGAGTGCTGGAGAAATCGTACCTATAGGAATAAAGAAATCACATTTCTAGATTACTTCTCATAGACAGTGAAGTTCTCTAACTGCCTAATCATATTCATGTACCACATGAACAGAATGAACAGAATGGAAAAGGACAAGAAGCTTCTCAGAGACCAGCTAGTCTTCCCTGAAGAGGATCAGCGTGGCAGCCATTTGGTGTGCAGCAGCTGAAGGCAAGGAAGCAGAAAAAGCTGCACTGTCCTGAGTCAAGAGAGTTCACCAGTGTCCTGGCAAAATGAACTGAATCCCACATTCTTGGTTCCTGAGGCAGAGGAGCAGAAGTATTTCTGTCTCCATTACTAATTGCCTATTTGCTATTTGCAATTTCCTGCTTTCGGCTAGGCAAGTTTTATTTCACAGTTTTGTTCAGAAGTTGTTACTTGCTCATGGAAATAAAGGAGAAGGTACATGATATAAGCTTGTACATTACGAACTAAAATGTAGCCTTTAGACAGTGCTCCCAGATGAGTATAAGGCAGCATACAACATCTTAATGATATAAAAAAATAAATCCATCTTTCTTGCCTCTATACTTAAATGTTGTTGTCTATGATCAGCTGTTACTATATTAATGAAATAATTTAGACTTCAGAACTAGTTTAGATCAGTGACTCAAAACAGTTAGACTTCGGACCACAGCCATGTCAAAGGCCTCTGCTAGCAAGAGGCAGGAGTACAGTGAAAGAAAATGGTGTCCTATGTTTTTCTTCTATCCATATCAATTCTTGTTTTCCAGGACTCCTGCGGACAAAGGAAGTATGCTCGCTCTTAATTATATCCATTCACTCAATTTTAAATGAACAGCAAATTAATTCCCTGCACAGAGCAACTGCTTCTTCCTAGATCTGAAAGCTGTTTGCTCCTTTGAAAAGACATTCCAGAAAACAACTTACGCGCCATAGTGCATCACTGAAGAGTAGTCGTAGGGAAGACCCAGGTTTCTGGAATTCATTTTTCCAAAGTTCCCTTGTTCCCCTGTAAGGTAGGAAAGCAACATTTCAGTCAGAACAATTATTGCTGCTCTAATAGTACACTGACTGCTGTCATAATCCTAAGAGCAACTTTGGATACTAATACTTGTTCTCATGAGATCTCGGATCTAGCAAAACCACCTGAGATTTTTGAAGCCAATGGGAATCCATTTTTACAATCTAGTAGGTTTCAGAATATAAAGTGAATCAAGTAAGTCAAAGTTTTGATATAATCAATGAATCCATTACACTCTTCAAGCAAAAGTATTCATCTGTCCATCTTCTTTAGGATGTCTCCAAATACATTTCGGTGCATTATCTTGAGTATTATAAACATCCAACCTATGTCTCCAAAGCTGCATCCATACATTTAGAGGGAAATCTGGCTACCCACGTAGGTAAAAAATTCAGAGCTGTGCATGGGTCTTGCTGAGTCCTTCCACCACAGGGTTATAAGACCACAAAAGAAAGGGATACAGTTTACCTTTTCCTTGCCCCAGAGGCCATGTTTATCAGCCATGTTCTGGCCTTGTCTCTTATCAAACCCATCAGCAATGACTACAGTGAAGAGATGTGATTCACATGAAGCAGAGAAACTCAGCTAAACAAATTCTGTCTGAATATAGCTGCTTTTCATCTATTTAACCTTAAAAAGTCAATATGAGATAAAAAAGTGTTACACTGATACAGGACTGGGGACCAGGGACAGAGATGGGAATTCATGTCACCTAGCTTTATTTCTCTAAGTTAGGCACTGAAGCTATTCCTCAAGGCTTCCAGGTTAGTCAGAGGAGAGGGAAAAAAGAGAGACACAGTTGGAGGGAGTTTTATCTGAAGAAGACACCTCGTTCTCTCCATAGACTGCAGAGCATGAATATGAATTGCATTCTGGGTCTCTTGGCCATGGTAAGACAGGCAAGCAAGCACTGTCAGAGCAGGGAGCTGAATGAAGTCAGTCTGGCACTGAAGCTAAAGCCCTAACCACTGGGCACTCCTTTCTAGTTCTGTTCCGTTATTGTAACTGTAAATGTGGTTTGTAAACCACAGACCATCTGGACAAGAGTTCAGAATTGGATATCTTTGCAGCCTACACAACTCAGCAGGCTTGCAACGAGAGGAAATCTCAGCCAGTAATGCCCTTCAGCGCTGGTCCTGGGCTGAGGGCTAAGACATGCAAAAAGAAGATTCAAAATCCTGAGTAATATAAAATTTGGGGATAAACACAACTTTGGAGCTTTTCGTAGATCAAAGCCTCATTAAGGCTTAAACTGTTTCTCAAGAGCATTGGCCCTCCTGACTGTGTTTTAATCTCAGTTCCTCTTATCTGCTGTACTGACTTCAGAAAGAATTATCAGCAAGTGCACAGCTTCTTTTGAGGTGATGAACAGAGAACACAGTTCAAATGCAGTGAAACATCTGAGCATGTGGCTACTGGTTGGCACAGAAGTGCTTTGCTGAATTTGTTTGCTAAATAAAGAAAAAGTAATGGCATCCTGGCTGGACTGAGGTGCTGCCAGCAAACAACTATCTCCCTCATCACATGCCAGAGAGATCTGGCTGTCTAGACCTGCACATGTGTGGGGACTTACTCTATCTTTTCCACTCTAAAAAAATAAAATAAAATCTACCTCTGCCAGAATCTAAGTGTAATGACTCTTCTGAATATTTTTTTCCCCAAAAGTTTGGGAAAAACAAGCTGAGTTTCAAGTAGCTAAGTGGACAGCAACCAATCGGGCTGCATTTTGTCAAAACAAAGAAGTAGGATGGCTTCCAAGGTAAATTACTGGATAAAAACAAAATGCAGAAAACATCCACAGTACGGAAGTCCTGGCAAGAGAACAGCTTGTGTGAGAGAGCTGGGAAGCTGCAAAAGGTCTTGAAGTCTAGTTCTGCACCACCAAGGTCAGGAGGAGCTCTGCTATGAGCACAGCAGCATGTTTTTAGAGGAGATGTACACTAACAGTCCTCATGAACATAACTGTGTTTCTTTATTTCCTTTTCCCTTTATATCTTTGCATTTTTTCCCTACAGTGCTTGAGCTGCATACACTCTGCATTCTAACTCCCTTGTCACACAAATCATCTCATTCTCCACCCATGGTGAACACTGTTAAAACACTGAAGATATAGCCCATCTCCTTTTGCATAGTCTTGTCTTCTTTACCTCTTTCCCCTCATTTATCCTTTCATGATACTGTGCCTGAATCAGAGCTTGGTTACATCTGGCGCAGGGGTTGAGCACAGAGGGTAATAGTGAACGGGGTAACATCAGACTGGTGACCTGTCACTAGTGGGGTTCCACAGGGCTCCATTTTAGGCCCTGTGCTCTTCAACATCTTTATAAATGACTTGGACACAGGACTGGAAGGGATACTAAGCAAGTTTGCAGACAACCAAAACTGGGAGGAGCTGTTGAGTTCCTCGAAGGCAGGGAGGCCTTGCAGAGAGACCTCGACAAATTAGAGGACTGGGCAATCACCAACCATATGAAGTTCAACAAGGGGAAATGCCGGATTCTGCACCCAGAATGGGGCAACCCTGGATGTTTATACAGACTGAGGAATGAGATGCTGGAAAGCAATATCACAGAAAGGGACCTAGGGTCCTGGTCATAGGCAAGTTGAATATGAGTCAGCAGTGCCCTGGCAGCCAGGAGGGCCAACCTGGGGGGCATCAGGCAAAGCATCAGCAGGTGGTCGAGGGAGGGGATTGTCCTGCTCTGCTCTGCACTGGTGCAGCCTCATCTTGAATATTGTGTCCAGTTTTGGGCACCATAATATAGGAAAGACATTAAGCCATTAGAGAGTGTTCAAGGGAGGGCAATGAAGATGGTGAAGGGCCTTGAGAGGAAGCCGTATGAAGAGCAGCTGAGGTCACTTGGTCTGTTCAGCCTGGAGGACACCAGTGACAGAACCCAAGGGAATGGCCTGAAGTTGTGTCAGGGGAGGTTTAGGCTGGGTATTAGAAAAAGGGTCTTCACCCAGAAGGTGGTTGGGCACTGGAATAGGCTCCCCAGGGAAATGGTCACAGCACCAAGTCTGACAGAGTTTAAGAAGGATTTGGATGATACTCTCAAGTACATGGTGTGACTTTTGGGGATGGTCCTGTGCAAGGCTTGATGATCCTTGTGGGTCCCTTCCAACTCAGCATAGTCTGTGATTCTCTATCCTTCAGAAATTATGACATCTGTACCTGTGGACTTCCCTCTGCAAAACTAGTGTCTGTGTGTCTAATATATATAACTTAATGTTTTCAATTCCTCTTTTCTAGTATATCCTTTGCTGGCATTTCAAACATGGCACACCCTTGTACAATGGCAAACAACTCACAGCAAAATTATACCTTAACACTAGAGCTGAAACCTCAATAAAGAACAGCACAAATGGAATTTACTTAGGACATCATGGGAATAGCTGAAAAAAGTTTGGAGAACAGTGTGTTAGGAATTTTCAATAAAAACAATCACGTTCCATCTGGAGAAAAAGATAGATATATTTTCAGCTGTGCCTGACATTGAAGAGCTGAATATCTCATTTGTTGAAGAGGCGTATGAGAATTTGATATCCGATTGTCCAGCCTCATTTACTATTATTTTCTATAATGAACTAAATACACTATTTTATTTTTACAATTGTTTTGGGTTGTCCAGCTCTCTCACAGCTGTCAGATAAGTGATTTCCTCCATACTTTCTTCTGATATTTTTCTTCTGTGTACCACTTTCCCACTTTCCCTTTGATCTCCTGCTGTTCTCTCTACCCTTTATTCCCCAGACCCTGGAGGTGTGTATATGAGCCCACGTTTTCAGCACACAGATCATGGGCACATACCCAAACTATTCATCCTTCATTCCTTTCCCTAAATAACATCCACTTGTTTTTCCTCTATAGATTTACCTATCCTGATTGCTCCCCATGGCTCCTTCTTTTCATGGGAGCGTATTGTCCACAAGGAGGAAATAATTGCAGTCTTTCTTCTCACATCACTCCAGGTCCTAGAATTTTGCACATGCTAGTGGTTGCATGTGCTTCCATTGTCTCAGTATTGAGTCTCTCGTTTGTATACATTTTAGGATATGTGCATTTCACTCACTGCCAGTGCCAAGACGTCTACTTGCTGCCTTCTCCTATTTCCATGGTTTTCCTCAGGATAGAGTTGCTGCGTGATTCCCCACCATGACCTCGAATGTCATGTTTCACCCAGTTAGGAGTCCTATAGTCTCACTTCATGGCCAAGTCTTATCTATAACATTTTGCATTCCTGATGATCTTGGTATTTTGAAGTCTGGGCTCAAGATGGCAATCAAAATAAGAATGTAGAGCTACTTTTAGGCTGTATCTTCCACACTACCATAGATGTAGCCACAGGAATTTCCCTAGTACAAACATTCTCCTTTATCTGAAAGTATATATTTTCTTTTAAGATTTAGTGGACATACCTGCCACTATGTGTTCCCACATAATCTTGACAAATCTGTCCCGATCGCTCCGTGCCTGTTCGTGGATGAAACCCAGCGCGTGGTTCATTTCATGCTGAATTGCTCCTTTATCCATGCAACCATTTTTCACCAGGCCTACTGCTTGACGTCCTCCAATTTTTCCAAAGTAAGACCAGCAACTAAGAATAGGCAATCAATAACCAAAATGATTATATTCAGCCAATACAAATATACAGATGTACTGTTTATGTTACCAAGGTCCTTTAGATATGCAGCCACAGAAGAGGACATTCAAATAGTCACTGCCATGAGATAAAATTTTTACAATTAAAGAAAATGTCTCATTTTTTAATTACACCCTGTTACTTTTAAGTCCACACACACATTTATTCCTGCAGCCTATTAACTGATTTAACTACTAGTATATCTTAAGAAAAATGAATAATTGCACCTGCTCTCTGAATCTTTACTCCCAGGATAAAAAAAAAAGGCAATTCCTTAAGTCCAGAACAAAACAGAAAAGAAATCTGAAAGACCTTTTGAGTGCTTCCACTCTCAGGAGACAGGGAGCTTACCTCTGCCCGTGTTCGACATACACGTAGTCTGTTTCTGTAGTGCGATTTACAAACTGCACACAGGTCAGTGTGGAGATCTCTTGCAGAGCATCAGCAATCCAAGACCTCTCTGTTAGGGCTAGAAAGAGAATGGGGCCAGGAGAAATCTTTCTTGGTTCATAAAAACCAAGGTGCATTGATGGGATGCATTCCTTTAAAACTTCACGTTTTTTAGCTTTTTATCTTACAAGTATAGTAAAAAAAGGGCACAAAGCCTTCAGAGATCTTCAAGTTGATTGGACTTTTAAGGGGAGGTATAAGAATTACAGCTATCAATATGCATATTCTATAGGAAACCCCTGATGGAAAGCAAAAGATTTACATTGTTTCTTCCATTAGACAGGACAGAAGAAATGAGACAGTTTCAGATATAAGTAATTAGATTAAAATATCCCAAATGAGCCAGTTGACTGTAGCTAGGCACCAAAACCTTATTTTGTTTATCAGAAAAAAAAATGCCTGCCACAGCCCCTGTGGAATCACTTGAGACAGCCAAGGCTCTGAAGATCACATGTGGTGTTTCTATTCAGCTACCAAATAAAGATCAGAGTGTTTATCTACTTTGGAACATTTTGGCCTAATTTGGCTTCCTTAGTTATGAATCATCTATGACTGATTTGTATCTCAATTTCCTAATATTTAAAGTTTGGAGAGAAGGAAATAACCCTCACCTAACCACAAGAGTATATGCCACAGTTCTGGAAGCACATAGGCAGAGAAGCAGACTAGATAACGCAGAGACTGGGCTTTCCTCAGTTTCTTTCCCTGAGGAATGGGAATCAGGCACAGGCCGTATTTCACTTCCATGACATTTTCTCTCCAGGTAAGATCTTTTAAGAAGGGTCTGTATGGAAGCCCCAGTCCAGATTAAGGCATCACTCCTGCAGCCTTTTGCACAGGACAGAGCTATTGACTGACTAGAGGGAATTAACAAAGGAAAAAATATCTTCAAAGATTTTTCCTCCATTTTTGCCTCTACAGGGTTTCTAGCATGGGAATATTTCCATGAGAAATCTGAAAGAAAATTATAGAGTTCAAAAAAGTGCTCCTAGTGGTAATTTTGACAAAAATACATTCATAATGTGAATAAATTATGCTTTTTCTTCTCTACTTGCTAAATATCAAAGTGCATTGTAGCTAGCAGGAATGGGCTAATATTTGAAATTACAATTAATTAGCTGACTACAGCCCAACTAACCACATATTTTAGTGTCTGTAACTGAAATGTTTGGAGTCTTAGCCAAACTACCACAGGGCTAACAGGACAGCAAAAGAAATGTGTCAATAAACTCTCACTTGTGCAGAGATTGCTTTTGGTGCGTGCCACAGAAAAATAAAATAACAGGGAGTATAGGGACTGGACGATCAATGGTAACTTTACAGCATTCATTTGCATACACTCACAGAAATCAGCAGAGATGTTAACTGGAACCTTGACTAGTCCATCTTGTGACTTAGGCCATAAACAACTCTCACAGTTAATTGCACTGCGTCGTCCTCTTCTCAAGAGGATGTCTCCTTCATACACAGCTATTTCACTACCTGGCAGATGAAGAAGATAAAGAACATAGAAGGCACTGAGAAGGCAAATACACGTAAAAAAGGGAGACAAGAAGTACACACTAAATAAGCTTTTGGAAATTTCTTTCACTGAAGTTCATCTCCTAATAATGTGAGAAAGGATTAGTATGTCAAGACTGGTTAGGTTTGCCTTGCTTCCTGGGTAGAAAAGTTTAATATTAATATAGATGTCATAGTGCAACTTTAATCAGTCCTGACTAAATATATTTTAGCTTAAAAAGCTTTGGGAGCTTTCAGAGGGGACTGCTAAGTATTATAAGTCATTGTTCTCTTCATTAGAGATTGTGGAATTAAAGAAAAATCATAAGTGACCTCTGTAAAAATGAGATGAATCATACAAAAGAAATTACTATTTTTATGATGCATATTGAATGCATGAAAGCTATTAATTTCCAGGTTAACTGTTAATTTGACATAAGACATTGTGACATCCACCTCAGTTCTGACTCCAAAATACTTGGAATACATTTCTCACAGACAAGAGCTATCAGTTATTAGGCCAAAAAAAAGTACAGCAGTCTTGGGCATAGCAGACAGGGAACTGCTATATATCACATAGAAAAGAAAATAAAGTGAAGAATATTCTGATTTGCTGAAACTACATATAGAAAAGAACATTTCATATAGCGATTGCTCTATAAGTCTTCTTAATTTCTTTATCCAAACAGCATAAATAATCATACTGAATATGACTTTAAAACACACTTGAATTCTGTGAATTGCCTTCCACTGATGCTGAAAAACATTTTCAAAGAGAAAAAAGTACCAGATAATGATGCTCAGGTATATAGATCCAGCCCCACCAAAACCTGCAGTTATTTATATAATAATTACAATCAAACTCACCTAAGTCATTGTTTCTTGTAGCTATCTGAAAAAAAAGCATATATTTTAATACATATTCATCTCCATAGTAGAAGACTTCTGTCGTGTAGAATCACAGCAGTAGAAGTTTGTAACTAATTTTAAGATAGAGCAACTCAGCAGCAGCAATGTAAATTCTCAACATCTCAGAGCAGCAACACACCTGGACAGGTTTACTTAGTGCAAAGCTATAGAGAAATGCTAAATGAGTTGGCAGAAGAAAGTATTTCATTTTCAAGTTTCCAAGATGATCTTCTCTGCTCTGCAGCTCAGTTGTCAAAGTTGTGGTTAGTTTACTTGGGGCAAGTTTTATGGGAAAGCTGCTGCTGTTGTTAACAAGTGTAACAAAATTAGATAACAAGAAGTATTTTTACAAAACAAACAAGCTGCAGGACCTCTCAAGAGAATTTCCAGGCTCTCATTTCTTATTTATCTTTAGAAAACAGAGGAAGTGGAGCAATAGGAAAGAAAATTCCATAACCTTAAAGTGACTCATCTTTAATTCTAAGAAGAACCCATGAGCTGCTGTAGGTCCCCTCTGCTGACCAAGGCAAGGATATCTGGTAGCAGTCTGTTTGCAGCAAAACTCAATTTCAAACAACTCTTTGATCCATCCACACTACCTGTTCTAGTAATTCCCTAGCTTGCTGCCAGGAGCCACTCTGCTCTGCAGAGCCCATCTATAAGCTTGTCCCCTCTGTGCACAGCTCTCAGCCAGGCATTGCTAGCCAGGAGCACTAGAAATCTGTTGGAGTCAGAGATGAATCTAATTGTTGATTGAAATTGTTTTTCCAATACGGTATCTTGCAATATAATCACCACTGACAGCAATTGTATGTCTTTCTGGAATCTATAAATAAATAAAAACACCAGCTCACAGAGTTTTGGCTTCCCACCTTCTGGGAAGCCCTCCTTCCTTTGATGTCCATGAATAGAAACAAGACTAGAAAGACAGGCTGAATCCTAGAAAATCCTACACTGTAAGAGTAAGCCACAGAATGGGAATATTCATCTTGCAGACACATGAACACCACCATAGGCAGGCATATCTTGCATTCTCCTTCCAGCTTCAGCCCCTGCAGAAATACTGAGGTGCTATAGAAAATCCTAAGGATTTGCTGTATCAGATCTTTAAGAAATAAGCAAGAAAACCTTTGGAATTGCCTGCAGAGACAAATTTTTGAGGAACCTATGTGGTTCACCGCAAATTGAGATGGCAGAGGGTGCCTTTTCAGAGAGATGTATGGGCTGGTCCTTTGTTTTTAGGGAGTACTTTGCTAGGAAAATTTTAGCTGATATTATGTAAAACTTTGCTACTAATATTTTCATTTTACCCTATTAATAGTTTGCTCATAAAATTTCTAAAATATTCCACATTTCCGTGACTTCCACAATTCATCTACAGTTATAATTTCCATGTGGATTATACGGCAAAATGAAGTGCAACATAAAAGGCCCATTTTTCTTTGGCTGATAAGAGGATGAAGTTCAGAAGTCCTCATGTTTGTTATATTGTTAACCAGAGCTTTTCCTGTACAGTTCCAAGCAACCTCTGTGTCTATTCAAGATCAGGTTCAAAAGAGAGACAGAAGGAGTCACAGGAGCATATTCCTGATGCTATACATCACAAAACGACAGAGGAAAGAGCAGAAGTTATTAGGCAGTAGAAGCAAGAGAAGACAACCTGTTCCAGCTGGGTCACTCCAGGTGTGCAGCAAGGAGGGATGGGAGAGCCCTTTGAAGTTCTGCCAGTTTTGCATATCCATTTCATGGGGGAAAAAAAACCTTGAACCAAGAGATTTATCCCATGGTTTAATTAATTTTCCTGACTGCCAGGAACAACTGGGTATTTTTCAAGGCTAATTAATAGACCAAAGTCTCATATCACCTGATAGCACATTATCAGAAGTTGTCTCGTAGATGCAAATTTCCTTTTTGATGCTGCTTGTCTACAGTTGCCTGCTTCAATATTTTAGCAGAATAATGTTCAGGTCTTGTTCTCATTATCTATCCAAATAATTTGATTACACAGCTGTAACTTGCATTCCTTCTCCCATATGCCTTTTCTTACACTGTCTTTTGGCATTTCTCATTGTTAGCCACACTGTCCTTGATCTGCCAGATATTTTATCACTCCCATTGGTTAGAAATTTTAATATGTTTATCATATTCTTAGTGATGCTTGCTTAGTTTCAACTTCATTTCACGGCATAGAATGGGCACTTCTTTCACCATGTAATCCAAGTACCTCTGGCAAAATGTTTAATGATAAAGTTAGAAAAAACAAACATCTGTAAGTGTTTAAATATAGGGTTTTTCTCTAGCCCTGTATCAGTAATAGGTATCATCAGAAATTATAGGAATGGTATGTCCCATGACTTTTCCATAACGAGAAAGTACAGAGGCACTTTCCCTGGCTAAAGCATTAGAGCAAATGAACCTCAAGGGACACAAATTTCAGGAGAGTGAATGGCTATGTGACTGTGTAAGTATCCAGTGGAATATCACTCTAAAACTCAGTTCCTCAGCTACTCGCATAAAGGTCATGCAGGCAATTTCTAGTGAACAAACAGTTGGCATAACTCTACTGTGTTCACTTTAGGAAGCTTATTACTTTTCAGGAGGATTCACAGTTATCTCTACATGCCTAAAGAGGCCAATTGTTCTTACTACATAAAAAATCCTAATTTTTAAAGTAACAATAATAGAAAATATTGCATTTACTACATGACAATTCTTTTTAAGGCTCTGAGCAGCCCTGCATTTAGACAGAAGTCAGATTCTGCCGAAGAGCATTTTAAAATAACTTTGTAGTCATTAAACGAAGGTATTATACTACACTGTAACAAGCTGAAAAGAGTTAAACAATAAAAACATACACAAAACCTCCTTTGCGTTTAAAATTATGTTATTTAAGAGTTATCTGTTTACAGATATTGTGTCTTTCAGGATGTTAGGATTACTGAAAGCATGCAATTCATGCATCATTAACGATTGGGAGAAGAAAATGAGCTTTCCTGCTTTTCAGTTGCCAGTAAGGTAATCAGTTTAGAATAATTATATCATTGACCTTGATGAAGTGCAAAAAATGTTTTGGCTTTTGCAGAAAAGGTCAAAATCACAAAATTAAGATTTTGTAAATCTGGTCCCTGGTCCTTATTTTGTCCCAGTTACCAGGCAGCAAAAGCAAACCTTTCATAGAAAAGGTTACTAATGAGCATAGTATACATAAACACTTGATACATAAACACTGGAATGCTAATTTTAATATAATTAGTCAATTGAGGTGTACTTTACAGCATCTTAGGCCATTGCATATATTGACATATTTCCACATTTTAGGTATGTTTTTATTTAAAAGAAAGATCTATTCTTTGAGAGAAAAAGTCTCCAGTGTAAATACTGAACTATGTTGAAATTAGTTTAAAACCAACATGTGTTTGGATTCTGTTTCTCCTAAACCACTCCTGCGCAGTGTGATCTCTGCTATTTTACCACCAGTTACCTTTTACCTTTCCAGTGTCAGAATGATACCATAATGTTGGAAAGGAGAGGCACAAGTCCACAGATCCTGATCTGGAGATAACTACATGTGTCAGTGAGCCTTAACTTGAGATGACGGCTAGAGACAAGAGTCAGCAGAAGCTTTTACAGCTAATTTGGTTTTGGAAGTAGCTGTAGGCTGAAGAGAATTTTACTATAGCTTTTTAACTTGATGCATGGGGGAAGCTGGGTTCCTGGAGACAAGCTACAAAGATTGATTTCAGTATTTGAGTATCTGCATACCCAAAGACTGAGCCAGATGGGACTGACTTGTCTATAGCTGCCCTGGTTCTGGTAAAACCTGATCTGAAACCAGTGTCCAAATGCAAACATCACACAAATGCATTGTTTTATGTAAAAGTTCTTCAGACACAAAACAGAAGTCCTGATTTAATGCTGCTCTCTAGTGGTTTGCCATTTGTGCAAGTGGGACACATTTCCAAAAACAGTCAGGAACTCCCCATCATCACTCACAGCCTGTTAACTCCTTTGATCCCTCTCTCAGCACCAACCACTAACTGCAGAAAATGCTTGCAGGCATGAAAAGTCTGTCCTGTAATCTGTGCTGAGAAGTGATGCATCAGTTTTAGCCTGAACCATCTCAAAACTGTAGTTTAGCTTCTGCAGTCTTGTTACTTCACTATTCACCTTCTCCAGATACCTACAGGTTATGCATACAGATGCCACAGCAGATTTCTGAAGTGCTCTGATGGCCCATTAGGAAAATGAACTATTTACCTGCACCATTTTCTCTAAAGGATTCTTAAATCTTGAGATTTGTTTTATTGATGAGTCCTCCTAAAAGGTTTTGGTAAGCTTATACTGCAAAACCCAAATACTCCTCTGTCCTGGCTCCACTTTAACTTCACAACATAGGCCATTGTCCTTTTCCCTGGTTTGCCTTGAAAGAGAACCAAGACAAATGGGCCAGAGGGGAGCAGCCAGAAAAGAGCTGCTCCATAAGGGGGGCTCCCTAGGATTTGTGGCCACAGCAGTCTCTCAGTAGCTCAGCATAGCCAATTTGACATGGTGTTGAAGTGCATCCAGAGGCTGAAGGCACAGACAAGACTAAAAACAAGGACACAACACACATCCAAGGTCCAGGAAGGATACTAAGACTAGATCGAAGATATATGCTCCTATGACATAGCCCAAACAGTGAGCAAAAGCCAAAGCCTAAGCCTAAATGGAACTCCCAGGCCAAGGGGCAGAGGACCCCACGTGAGGCCAGTCAGGAGCCATTAAGGTCTGTTGGCCCTCTCCATTCCTAAAAGCTACAACACGTTGCAATTCACTCCCTATACCACAGTGTGGGCTATCCAGTGAACACAACTGCAGCTTAGATAATGATATGCACTGGATCATCACAGGCTTCTTCAGAGACCCCTAGGAAATTGTATTGCAGGCTCTGGGAAAGCTACATTGACTCAGCACCAACATATATTTGTCCCTGAGTCTACTACTTCTATTAAATGTTTCTTCCAGCAGTGTGTAGGAAGAAATATAATCGCTCATCCTGCATCCTTTTTAAAGTTTGATTGCACTTTCCCATAGCTCTGGCACCATGGTGATTTAAGTAGCACTTACCAAGCTCACTCAGCAGCTGAACAGTTTCATATGTGAGCTGCCTCTGAAGTCCTGAGTGAGCATCATCTGTTGTTACTGTTCACTGCACTGATTCGTGCTAAAACCCTTTCTTGTCAGCAGTGATATTTTCTCTGAGACATTCTTCCTGAACCTGAGATTTCCTCAACCCCTGTAAGGAATGATCTCACC